TAATTAAAGTTAATTTTTTNTTTTTTTTTCTTTTTTTTTTTTTTTTGTTGAAAAATTCAACTACATTAATATTAACAAAGCATTTATGCAATTGCTATCATTTCTGGACTGGATAAGATATAAATTAAATTGAATATTTGCCAGATTTATTTGAATTTATTTTAACACTTCTGAGAAAATACGATCTCATAAGACTAAACAATCTAAATAATATGTAATGATCACTTTTCAGGTTGGATAGCATTTTCAACAAAATGTATTATTTAAATCACTATTATGCTCCCAATGATATAGCAATATGTTATGTTTAGGGTTGGTAATATTTAGTATTCATGTATTTCCTTTAATTATTCAATTTATTTCCCATAAAATTAGAGTTAATTAAGGGAGATTTCATTGCATACTTCCGCGCGCTTTTATCATTCGAAAGCTTCAGCTATAGAAAAGGCGAAATTTCAAACTTTTTCTTTTTATCACTCCTAAAAAGTTGACTTTTTTTTTTCCTCGAAGATCGTTTTGTGAATTTAGTACCGATCTGGTATAATTATTCTGGGAAATGAATTTTTTTTTTTTGGAAAATATAAAGGTAAGGATGAAATTTAGTATCACATAGTTTTTAGTGTCACATAGGTCATTTTAAAGTTATATTCTAAGCTATTTCTTTTTTTTTTTTTTTTGAAAGGTAAGATATGACAAATGCCCCATTACATTTTAAAGGTATTTCCAAAATATCCTTGGAAAATATTAGCTACGTAATTAACTTATGGCACAAAAAATTTCACCGAAAACTGGATACATTGACTAAATCACCGCTTATTGATTGATATAGGGACTTTTCCGCTTTGCCTTTTTAATTCTGTATTACTGAATTATCCTTATACCTCATGTTAACCAGAAATAATCAATTCCTTTGCCTTTTAATATTGATTTTTTTGTCACTTTGAAACCACCTCAAATTAATTAAATTAGCAAAATTATTGCTAATGTTATCATTTAAATAGCATAGTCTATTCATTATTATTGAAACATTGTTTATTTCCTTGCACAAAAAAAAGTGGAAAGAATAGCTATCAGGCAGGAAATTAGTGGAAATCTTTGTACAGAATGAAATTAGTGTATTGATTACTTTGGATCATCCCATATTTTGCGGGATGGAATGAACTACAGAAATATATGAAAACAAGTTCCAACCTCATTCCGCGACATAGTTGTTACTTTTCTGTAAATCAATAAAATCCTTATATATATTGTTCGACTTATCTACTTGGCCAAAATGGTTATGCTAACTTCTTCCACTAGAAATTATAAAACAAAACACGCACCCAGGAAAGAAAACCCACGGAGTTGGGGAACATCTAAACTTAAAAAAAAGTGAAAGTAGCAGAGTGGAAGCTTTATAATGCATATAATGGCAATGTTGATTGATGGGAAATAGGGTTGAAATGACAAAAAAAAAAAACGAAGAAACATCCACAGTGGGTATAACGCAGTAAGCTAAGGACAATGCGGGACGACCATATGCAAACGCTAAAGAAACTTCTAAAAATCCAAATCCCCTTACAAATCAACACTTTTCAAGAAGTTATCATTTAAAAAAGAGAGGTCAAATGAGGCCACTATATTGTAAATCAAATTGAAATAAAAAACTACCTTCCAGAATATCTTCCAATATTTAAACTGCGGGAAAACGAATTTAAGTTTACATGACTCGTCAGATGCAGAACAGATTATACGGTGAATCCACTAAGAAAGAGACGACTAAATAGAAAAATTGTAAGTAGGAAATAGAAATGACTTTCCGCACGTAATTTATGGATATATACACATTATATTTATAAATAACGAGCAGATAACACAGCAAAATATAGCATATATAATCAAAATTCGACAACCAATATCAGGACAACCAAATATCTCCGAAATTTTCCCCTTGAACTCAATTTCACAAATACAGAAATAACACGTTAAATATCCTAAAAACATTTGAAACAAAAAAGACAACCATGACTTTCATTTATCTCCAGCGCAATGTGTCTTCAGTGCCTTATCGCAATTGCACACAAATAAAACAAATATGACCACACATAACTGTATTCATTCTCGATTCGAGAGAGACTTACGGTGCCAACCATCAAATTACTCTATTTAATTCACCTTTTTGAGCCATCGGTAGCAATCAAATTAATAGCAAAAGAAACCGAAGTTTCACGTTCCACATATTTTAGGAATATTAGAGAATATTATATCACATTATAAAGAAAGTAAAAATGACAATAAGAAATCACACGGAAATTAGACAGTGTGCACGTGATATGTATAAGGCAGTTCATCTGCTTCCATCCCGTCGAAGAAAGTCATACGGCCAGAGTAAAAATGAAAACAAAAAATAACCGTATAATACAAACAATATCACGAATCATTAATAACCGGACGTTCACTACTTTGTTCCATCCAAGCCTAAAGCATAGTTTGCTTCTGGGGCTACGTCACCCTGATGTAATACCGGTGATGTTTGTATTAAACTGATCTCGAACTGAAACGTGGTTTAATTTTTAACCCAAAAAATTTTGGATAGAATTCTGAAAGTTGAAATAGCGTTATATCTGTATCCTAAAAAACGCGCAGTTTCCAAATTAATTCTGAAAAATGGGGAGGAAGTACTGCGAACAGATTAAAATCCTCTATTTCTCCAAATTTTGAATCTGATCTCAATCGTTAATTATGCAGATTATGACCATGTAAAAAATGCATAACGTTAGAGTCTTTGAGACCATGGTTTTAAGATTCACAAGGCATAATCTATACAGTTTTAGCTATTTTCCTGGCCTAAATTTAAATCCATCAACAAAAACTAAGGTCAATCTACCTCAAAGAATTAAAATTTACACCTTAAATTCATTTCACCTTCAAATTTACCAAACAGCGAATGTTTATTCCAAACGAATATCACTAAATAATATGAATTTATCATTTCAAACGATGACTATCTCAATCACAAGCTCACTTTCATTGCGTATATTTTCTTTTTTTCGTAATGGAATTGAAGCTCATACAGCGCTTGTTATCACATGTCAATCTTACCACCCAATACAGTCTTACCAAGTGATATGACATCAGAACCTTAAAAACAGTAATATCTTACCACACGAAGACCACGCTGAATAGGATCCATTAAATGTACACCTGACGGAAGGTAAACATTCGTATTTTGCTCTGCCAAAAATCGATTAATTTCCATTAATGACTTCTCGTACTGTGTCTGCATACAAATAGCTATTAGAACATATGAAAATTATGCCGTGAATAAAATGACATTTCTAAAATAAATTCAGACGAAATTTGACCTAGGAATCCCTATAAAAGGAATTCATGATTGATTCACTAAAAAACCTGATGTTCGGCTTCATTCAAATCTCCAAAATGTTTTAGTCACTTTTGTTCTCTTACCTTATCACACCCTGGAATATTGTTTCTATTAAACTTTTTTCCCTTCATTCAAGTTGAAAAATTAGAACTCAAAAAACGAACTTTTACGAAAAGCCTGGAAATGTAACATGAAAGACAGCCGGTTAATGTTTCGAATACAGTTGCGCAACAAACTTCTTCAGCTTTACTATAGTACGAATTCAGCGTCGTAATTGTATGTGCCCAGGCTTGTTCACTGATCTGAAAATATTTCATACTTTTCTTTATCGGACCAATGGATTATAGACAGTTTATTTCATTTGGACAACGTATTCTCTGTCCTCATAATTCCAACTTTTCGACAGAAGTGATCGGATTGAGGTATGAGTGCAGCATTTTAATCTTATGCTTGAGCTCAGTATTTTTGTTCTCTTTCGAGTCTTAACCTTCTAACAGGTATCTGAAGGCTTGAATCTAGGAATTAACAACACAGCATAATTGATGCTAACGGCCAGAAAAGGCCAACAGGCTGAAATCAGAAAACAATACAAACAACGAGTAATCTGACTTTCCGCTGATTTCAAAACTTATTTCAAAAATATTTATCAAATGCTTACCCTCCCTTCAAGCGCATTCGGAAAGGTGGTTTCAAACTGGACGCCCAGTCCTTTCGAGTAATCGCGTTGCACAAAAATTTTGTTGCACGTATTCAGCAGAACGCGTACTTCATCACCTCGTGAATTCATTCTTCCATTAGGTTAGAGGTCATGGGAATGACACACGTAAACTGTCAGATGTTACTTTTCAACATCCAGCATAAAAAGTCAACAGATACGTCGCAATCTGTTGAAGTAATTTTGAAAAACCGAGAGAAATTAACACAATCCTTCCAAGGATCTTCCCGAATTACCAAATAAGTCGTCCGGCCACGTCCTGAAATCACCAAATGCGCAACCTTGTCGAAACCTAAATGTTTCGCCACAAGCATAACTCATCAGATGCACACTGTCTCGGCTCCTCTATTCCTTCCTAATTTCTCTCACTTCGCACACTCTCCAAACCGTCCGTTTCTTTATTCCATGCTCTTTCTCATTTATTGATATTCTTGGCGTCATCACAACGTAATCTATTATTATAAAACAATGTCTTTCTAAATTTTATTGATCCTAATATATCAAGAATTCGCGGGAGTTCAATGTTCAACAGAGGTAGTTTGCCTGTATCATAATACAAAAACACTACGTCTCAAATTATCGCATTCAAAAGATTGGTTTCCCATGATATTTCCAATATCTTGGACACGAAATGAAGTGATAATGGGGATTTACACTTATCTCTCAAATTCAATTAAATGTAAATGGAAATGATTCCAACACTCAATACTACTCATCAGGTTAGTGATTGTAAATAATTGCATAAATACAAATTACAATCAATCAATCCGATCAATGTTTCATCTCGTCACATTAGAAATAATGTATTCAGTGAATTGACTGTCACATTGACGTATGTAACCCATTCTTTTGTCTATGTTATTCAGATCTATCATCCTATTGATGCACCTTATATTACACCGTAGACAAGAGTTGAGGTTATTTGAAGTCTAAATTTTAGCGCTAAGAAAATTTATTTTAGTGCTAATGTCACCGCCATGTTGGTAATGATTTCCGAAGATATTAAAATACTAGATATTATAGCACTTCGTCTAATCTAAATCTTCTACGGTTAAATTATCGCATTGTATCTCTTTAGTTATTCGATAATTGGCAGCATGTTTGTATCTTCCAGAAACATGAACTGTTGAACTTTGATGTATCCCTATTTATTGATCGATGCACAATAATCCTGATATGTTTCTAGTGAAGTATTTGGTTCAGTAGATATCGAATTCTCTGAAAGTTTTCATTAATTAATTGATAAATGAATATTGTTCACATTGACGGAAATTTGAGCTTCCAAATTCCTTCATTTTTCTTTTTTTTTTTTTAAATTTCATGAATTATCAAAATCTAGCTCAATTAATTTTTCCCGGTTTTACAGGAAAAAAGAAAGAAAATTTTGGGATCAAATTTTATTAAAAGGTATAACATTCCATAAAATGAATAAAATGTTAGTGAAATTGACGCAAATTTTTGCTATTAACATTAATAGCAGTAACATTATTTGCAAGCGATCTTCTTTAATTTAATTCTATTTCAATTCAGTTCATTCCAATTCCATTCAATTCTTCATTCACAAACTTTTTTTTCTTCATTTAAAAACAAAGAAATGGAACAGATTGCAAAAATGATTGCCAATAAATGAGACATAGATTTCTTTTTTTTCTTCGTCATCGATTATGCATCAGTAATTTAGCTATTGAACACAATGGTTTCGCTATTGGCATTGTCATCCTATTCTGGATTGACAGTATCATACGAAAATGTTCTGGATTCAAATGATGGGACGATGTTGATAATCCGGATAATGCTGATAGAAAATAAATCATCGGATCGACAATCAACAAATGGTCTCAAATCCTCAAAATTTTACATTACAGTTTGATTACAAAAAGAGGAAGTAGAAAAAAGAAGGAAAGTTAAAAAAGAAAAAGAGAAAAAAACGGAAGAAAATCTCGGTATATGTGACCATCTCCGGAATAGAAATGCAATATAGTTTCAGGACAAACTTTCCTGAAATATATAACACGATGAGTTGTAATTCTGGAACGATCAACATATATGATTTTTAGGGGACATTTTAAATATTTGACCAATATTTTGAATGATAGAAAATAGCAGATGACAAAACTTTTTAGCATCTTTTATACGAATAGTATAAGTATAAATTTAAAAGTAACTAATGTGATCAAGATTAGAAAATAAAAACGAAAAATAATTAAATATTCTATTTTACACTTTAATCTACAACAAGCAAATATTTCCATTATTTAGCATCACATGAAATGTTATCGTACTTTTTGCTATTACATTTAAAAATTTCAAACCATTTAATCGATTTAATTACAGGCTATTTCTCAGCTGAAATGATTGAATTATGGCGGAAAATTTTTTCGTTCTTTTTATCCTTCTTATTTGTTGCTTGTTTATGTAAAGATTTGCATGAAATTAATGCGAAAATTTTGCTTTAAAAAAAAATTTGCAACAGTTTGATTATATTTGTGTAAAATTTACTTTGATCTTATCAGTATTTCTACCTTATTATTATATTTGTTAAACTGATGGATAAATAAATTTCAAATCCATTTAGATTGAATTCTTTAAATCATTTTAGAAGACAAATTATTATAGGAATAATAAAGATCATCAAAATTTTTAAATAAGATTGTGATAATAATTCAGTTTCTTTTTTCGTTTAAATAATTTGAAATTTAAAATAAATTTAAAAAGTAAAATTGTAGACAATTGCCTGTCAAGCATTTCTATTATTATTCTTCGAAGGATAATTTTGCATTAAATAATTTATTTGATTGAATTTTATTCTATTTCCCTTATAAAAATATCAACAATCTTTTTAATATCACTGTAAAAAGTAAACATTGCAAAATATTTTCATTAATTTTTTGTTCGAAAATTTTAAATAACAATATGGCATAAATTCAGTTTTGTTCTTAATTAATTAACAAATCAATAAAATTTTGTTTTGTGATTGGCAAGAAAATGTTTTAAACAACAATTAAATCTATATTTTATAAAACAGATAAAATCATTGTACAAAATTTTTGATGCAACAATTAAAAACTTTTAGGTGTAACTGATAGGATGTTATGATAATGCGGTAATATTACTGTAATGATTGAAAACTTTCAGTTATATAAGAGATATAAATCTATAAAACGCTCAAGTATATTATAATTATTATTAAATAGTAGTAACGGATAATTGCAAGAAATTTCCTCTTCAATTTCTTTCATTACTATACATATCGTATAACGTTTGAATGTATATTAAGAATATATGGTATATTTTGCATGCATGCTATCCATGTTTATGCATATCACCGTAGCTGTGCATGTCATCATAGATCAGAAAATCATTGATTAAATAATCACAATGAAAATTTATTTTACTTTTAATACTTTTATGCCTTTTTAATTTTAATTTACACATATTTATCATATTATGCTATTTTATATGAAAATAAAATAACAACAAAAATAAACAATTCAAAAATGAAATTTTAATTTCAGTTAAATTTGCGCAAATGACAATACAAATGAATGCTTTTGTAAATATGGTTTGATTATACAATGCCATATTTTGTTATAAAGTAATATTGCAAAATTTTTATCACTTTATAATACTTTAATTTTATAAATAAGTTATTCGGAAATTTTTCCTTCTTTCTAATTTTTATCGCTTTATACATAATTTAAAATTTTTCATAATCTTTTCTCTTATTGTTTTATTTATTTATTTGGTATTAGAGAATCATTCCAATAATATTAACAGTTGATAAATTTAAAAATAATTTACTTTTTCTACGGAAATTACACTTCTTTCATTTCCTTTTTCTCGTTAACTTTCAAATTTAAAAATATTATTATACATATAAAAGGATAGTAATATTAAATGATTGAGAATTTAATTGGTTCTTTAAAAACTAACAAATAATTAATAAAAACCATGGGTGAACTAATCAAAGGATGGTTGTGATAGAAAAGTAAATTAGTTAACTTACCCAATATCAATAAATTGACCAATTTCTCAAATGTTGGTGAATTAATCAATTTTCTCAATATTGATCAATTGGCTTATTTTATCCATTATCAGTGGCTACTACTGATATTATCATTAAGCGATCTTTAGATAAAAAATAACTTTATACCATACAAAATGATGCAATATCGCTTTTTATTTTCGTTTGATAATGTTTTTTGTTTTTAACTCCTATCTTTTTTCCATTTTTTTGTTTAATAATCAACTTATTTTTGATAATCTGAAATTTGATAAGATAAAATTTCTTTGTTCAGTAAAATAAAAGGTGATAATGGAAAAAAAAACGAATCGCAAGGTTATTTGAAAACATTTGTATAATTTATACAAACTGATAAACTGATAAATTGTTCAATTTCTTTCAATATTTTATCCTTACTAACCTTTGACATTATCAATGCCTTATTTAATACATATAGAAATTGATAATTTATTAAATTTGGCAAATTTTCCAAAGAAAAAACGATAAATGTTTAGTTTTTTAAACCATTATTGCCAATATATTTATTAGCATAATTAATTGTAAAACAATAACAGATAGTTTAATTAATTAATGAATTTGAAAATATCTGAAAGAATAAACTGCAAGATCATTATTTCCTATTCTTTTTTTTCTCCTCCTCCCCTTAAAATGGTAATTTAAATAATTGATGAAAAGTGACAGTTCCACTGTTAATTTCATCAATTCTAACAATATAAAATCTTTGAAATAAATGACATAAAGCGTCAAATAGGTCAATTCCATTTTAAGAAT